CTACTGTTTTCATTCTTTCTCACTTTTCTTCTGTTTTTTTTTCGTTTCTTCTTCTTTGCCGCTCTCTCCCGACGTCCAGAGCGGGAGACCTCCTTTTCGTCTCGCTCAGTTCCCAGAAGCGTACATTTTTTTCTCCAAGTTTTGCAGCGCTGTCGCTTCGGAAGACTCGAAATGTCGGGGTTGAAGGTGAATTCAGCCGGAGGAAATGGAAACGATCAATTGAAGGAGGTTGAATTTTTCATTCACGCTTGTCGATACGTCGCCGCTTCCAACGGGGGCTTTTGCATTCGCGTTGCCCGCGGTCAAACTTCCTCCTCTCGGTTGCGAATTCACGAAATTCAGATTGCTTACGAAATTACAGCGAACCGAGACGGAGTCGGTCGATGGGTCCAGCAGCGTTTGCGGTGAGTTCGCCAAAAAGTTTCTGCCGACTCTGCCGGGCGCGTTCAAGAGCTTGCTCGGCACACCGGTCGCCGTTCGAACCGACAAACCTCGGGAACTGGTCCAGTTAGAATTCCGTAAACCAGTCGGAAACAATAATACGATCCAACCTGACGATACATCCGATATTTTCTTCGATCCACAGATTCCTGGCAGATCTACTTGGAATTACCGATTACGCGACCAACATGCCGGCATTTTGGTTCCTGGATACCCTCGCGCTTCAAACGCTGCGATACAAAAACGACCTCGACGAGTATTCTGTCGGTGTTCTCATCAGTTGGCTGTCCGGCGAAATGATACTCCTTCGAGGTAAAAGAGAAAAGAACTCGTCCAACTAAACAGGCGTACGATATTTATTTCCCTCCTTAAAATTTGCGCGAATCGACAGACAGGAGGTATACTCGCGAAGAATTTTTCAGAGAGATGAAGATCATTTTCACCGCGGCGTGCGAAAAGATACGTGAGAAGAAAAGGTTATTGCATTGGGAAGAAACGATGTCGGAATTTCACGACGCAGAGGAAGAAGCGGAGGATCAGCTGTCGTCGGGGGATCGATCGATGAAAAGGTAGCTCGTGCATCTTCGCTAATATTTAACAGAGTGTGCTTCTATAATGGATCGCTGTCTGTTCGTTTGAAGTTTACAGGAACCCTCCTCTCGAGAAAGCGTCGAAACTTCAAGTAGCATTGACCCATATCTCGTCTTAGATATCGTGATTGATTCTACCTACAATATGTAAGTTAATTACTTCGTCGTGAAAGAAAATTCCATCGAGGCGCTGCGGAACGACAATTTTCGTTGTGCAGGTACGGGAACGAGTTACGCTACGACCTTATTCGCGCAGTTTTCGTACAGCCGATTCAAGTGGAAACTCGCGATTCGCCGTTCACTCTGCGGACACCGCGTTCGGTGAAACTTGCCGGGCCCGGAGAGATGCCCTTCGACGCGCGATTGCAGAGAAGTCTGAGGAAGATCGAGGCGATGGAAAAGTCGAAAAAGCCTGAGAAAAGTGCTAAAGGTGCGGTGAAATAATTTTTTCCTATAAGAACGTTACACGAAAGATTGCAAGAATATTGCACGACTTTTATATTGCAGGGAGGAAAAGTTTACAAGTACCAGCAACACCTCCACCTTCGCTAGACGACGAACTAACGTTAACGCAGAAGCGTCGATTCATCCTGCCGCTGGTGGAAGCGAACGAGGCATCGGATCTTCTAGAAAAATCAAACGACTGACGTCTTCTTTATTTTCTTCTCGCAAAAAGTTACAATATCAGTCCGTTACAAGTACAGTGCCCCATTCGCGACACTTGAAATCTCGAATGCTCGTGGGTTTTACAGGAACGTCCAGTTTCACGAACTTCGAAGTAGCTGCGAGCCTTTCTCGAGGCTGTCCTAATTGCCCGTACTTATTGCATCCGCAACCCCAAAGTGTTCCATCATCTTGAACAAAATTGAGCAAATTTAAAATTAGAAGACGTGTTTCCCAAAGTGTTCGTGGTTACTTGAAGAAAGAAACGGACCAGTTGTACAAACGGTGAACGTATTTCCGCATCGAACCTTTTTCACCAAAATTTCCACGGTCTCGTCCCGTTCGTCTGTGAAATGAACCAACGTGGGCACAGCCGATACTTTGCTCTCTAGGCTGAGCAAGCCTAATTCTCCCTTGGTATTCCACCCCCATGTATACAGGTCACCCTGCGGTTTAAAAAGGACCGTTGCAAAGCGAGCTTATCGATCCGATCTGTTCTATTACCGCCGAGAGAATACTTTACTTGATCGGTGACTACGGCACTGTGCCAGCCCGCCGCCGAAATTTCGACCACTTTAATGCCCGCTAACGCCTCGATCAGCCTCGGATTATCGCAGTCTTCTAAATCGTTGTGCCCCAATTGACCACGCCTGTTCTCACACAAATCAACCCGTCTCAACTTTTTCATCGTATCGAGTTGAAATAACGCACGATCCAGCTTGGTATACGTACGTTCCCATTCCCATTGAATAAATGTCACCGTTTCCTGCCAACAGGACAGTGTGGTCGAATCCACAGGCGATATCTGTGAATCGAACCCTCTTCGGCATGTCGACCAACGTAGGAACGTTGAACACCCGACCTAAATCATATTTTAAACGTCTACACCAAACTGTAAACCTTGTCAAGTTTAAACAAATTAACGTATACCTAAATTAGTGAGAACCACCGTGCATCCTCCTTGCGCTATTTTAACAGGATACTCGTTTTCCGATTCGTTGCTGTTAAAAATGAAATTGTCAACTTTCTTCCAAGAATTTTCGTAAATTTTGTATCGCCAGAGTTCGTTGTCTTTGGATAGGATTACTACGTTGTCCCTGCCAGGTGCAGCTTGCTTGCAACTATAAAAATGATGTATCTAGATATACGTGTGTGTGTGTGTGTGTGTGAATTTCTTAAATTATCCGAATCTACGTCAACTACCTATTTAGCGACTTGTCTGGTATTTGTACTAGTTCAATCTCTTTACTATCTTCCTCAGATTTTCTAGAAATATACAACCCATCCTCTTTCCAAACGAGAAAATAACTCCAACCGATTTGAAAGTCTGTAATTCCAGGAAATGGTACTGTGGTGAACGAATCTACGGCAAGAATGATATTTCCGTCTTTGGAGAAGAGTGCATTGGTGTTAAAACCGGCGTAATAAAACGACATGTCTCTGAAAGGATGAAATAAACTTTCTTATACGTCAATTTTGCGCAAGTTTCTTTCTTATCGAATGTTTTCGGTTGAAAAATTCTGCACCTGCGGGTTTATGCTTGCACGTATGTAAATACGGCGAGAGTTTATTGGCCAGAAGGTGCGGGCAGTTTCCTTAGATACGAAAGAAACAACAGAACCAACTCGTACGACGATAACCACACGACTGACGTGACGTGGTCGATTTACCACGTTTCTGTTGCAGTTTTTTACGAATAAAAGAACGAAATATGGTAAAGAATCAAAGGAAATTAATACTAAATTGATAAACACTGCACCGTACTATGCACTTTCTCCCTAGAGTTCGAAACACGTTCTTTCGAGCACGTAGAACATAACCTAACAAAACTGCACCTTTAGAGTTTCCGACTTTACCACCACGCATTTTATCGAATAAAGAAGCACCGTTCGACACGTTCCTTGCTTATTTTCTACTTCAGTCCCAAAGACAAACATGCGTTAATGAAAAATTGTACAATTTTCGATGACAACTGCACACGTTTCTTCCGTGTATAAAGCTGCTGCGAGCGTAAGGCAGATTTCGTCTGCCACGCCAGCATTGTTACCGCGAAATTTGAATTGGAAAGTTTGCACGAGACGCAGCGTACGCGTTATCCCCGTTTAATTTTTTCATTCTACAACAGGGACTGTTGTCGATTTTGAGAAAACTGCGTTCGAACCCGGACAAAGAATTACGGTTGCTTCTTCTGGGGTTAGACAACGCTGGAAAGACGACTATTTTGAAATCTTTAGCCAGCGAGGATATTACACAGGTAATTGAATTACAAGGCGATTGAATATTCCAGGCGTTCGTTCGAATAATCGATCGTTTATCGAAGGTGACGCCGACGCAAGGCTTCAATATAAAAAGCGTCCAAAGCGAAGGTTTCAAGTTGAACGTTTGGGACATTGGAGGTGCGCGAAAAATTCGCCCGTATTGGCGAAACTATTTCGAAAACACGGACGTTCTGGTAAGTAATTTCTCGCCGTTTAAGCATCATTCAAATCCTAGCGAAAGTGCCGGAGCAACATATCTTTTTACGAAGATCTACGTGGTGGACAGCGCCGATATAAAAAGACTAGAGGAAACGGGTCAAGAATTGTCGGAACTTTTGCTGGAGGAGAAGCTAAGAGGTGTTCCACTATTGGTGTATGCAAATAAGCAAGATCTTGGACAAGCGGTAACCGCGGCCGAAATAGCAGAAGGTCTTGGATTGCACAATATCAAGGATCGCGATTGGCAGATACAATCGTGCATAGCGACGGAGGGAAAAGGCGTGAAGGTACGTCGATAACTGAGAAAATAACACGTTTATACGAATTAAGGTTCTAACGAGATGTCGATTCGACAGGAGGGCCTTGAGTGGGCATGCAACAACATCAAGAGGAAGTAACGGGACGAGAACCGTGAAACAATGGAACAGTTTCTCTTGTACATCCAACATACGTTTTATTTGGCTTTTACTTAATATTTACAGAAGCTGTTACAAAGAACGCGCGAATCGTTCAACTTCCGTCATTTCGACGGCCTCTGAATTGCAATGTCTCGAAGAATGTGTCCGTTATCCGTACTACGTGCTCTTATCGAATAGAATTTTCATAGATCTCCCTTCAGAAGAAGAAGAAGAAGAGAAAGTAACGAAACGAAAGATAGAAATAATCGCGACTGATGCTTTTCGACCGCCGTACACCACCGCGACGAAAAATATTGCTAAAAGTGTTGCTCGAGGTAAAAGATAATTCGAGATGTGAGATTCGAGATAAATAAAAGATTATTCGTGAAATTCTTCACCACTCTATTCCCTTCCTCTTTTTTTATGTACACGTAAAGAAACAAAGGGTTCTTCGATGCGACATCCCTTTGTTCCTTCGATTTCTACCGTGAATTTCCTTTCTCTTGTACGCGTAAAGTAAATATCTTATCAATTATAAATAGAACAACGTGTTCGCAGTAATTCACTGTTAAAAATCGCGAATGTCTCTCACAGGGCACGCTCGATTCGGAATCAAAGTTCACTGTGAACGTTCTCCGTCGTGATTCGAACCTCCTCTTCGTGAAAGTCTGTGCAGTCGGCTGGATATTTTAGCTGAAACATTCAGAAAACGATCTGCCTGTTACACATTTCGTACCATACATAGTCTCTTACGAATGATTCACTTACGATACATCCGTCGTGCTCCATGATGGCCCCGTAAACAGTCCAGAAATTGCTTCCTAACGAATTGCTGACGGCCCAAGCGGCGGGGAAGCTAGTAATTTTCAGTAAACCACTTCGCAGAAGCGGCTGATCCTTATCTTGCTCGTTCTTCTCGTTTATCGTACACAGAACCTGACTCGCGCATTCTGGCCTCTTGATTGCCCATTTGTACGCTCGAAAAGACTGTAAATTCACCTTCGACTTGACAAACGATCCTCGATCCCACATACATACGTATAATTCCAGCTCTCTGCGATTTCTTACCTTCAATATAGGATTAACGATGTCGTTGTTGATCATGTCGCTGAGCCTGTTACTGATTTCCCTGGCGTTCACTCGAGACATGATAAATCCTTTCTCTGACGCCAGCGCGATTAATTCTTTCACGTATGACACCGCCGGCTTGATGTACTGCGAACTGTCCATTTTCATCCCCAAATGCCTCTTTCCCATTGCGTTCACTAATCTGCAACAGAACCGAATACAATGCGTTATTTTCGCTGGAACGTGGAACTTCCGACAGTTCAGTACCTGGAGAGACTTTCCACAGGTCTCATCGAGTCGAACATTGCCGCTTTAGGGAAACCTTGCGACTTGAGGAAGCTGTTTCCGACGAATTGAACGGTGTTTAGGTAACGTTGCTGGATCTGTGGATCGGAGACGTGAGAGATCCATTCTCCGATGTAATTGGTCAACGATCTGATCCACGCACGACGTACAGCAGGCTTCTCGAAACTGTCCAGCAGTTTCTCGTAGCGAATACGTCCCTCGGGGTCGGACATTTGCCCGACGAAGTCTGCCAGACCGCTCTTTCTCCACAGCGTCTGGCCCAGCTCTGAATTACTGAAGTGATCCCACATCACGTGCAAATTTTCAAGAATTGGCGGCATGTACCAAGAGTGTCCCGAGTGGTCGTGCATTTTATCGGGCGTATCGTCCATCTCGTTGCTCTCTCCGCCTAATTTTGACAGTAACATCGGCAACAGGCCCATCACCAAGTCGGAGTTTCCGCTTTGACTCATGAACATGCTTCCCACGTTCAAGATCCCTTCGAGATCGATGCTAGGCCGTTGCTTCGTTTCGACACTCCTGCTCGTTCTTTTGCTGTTTTTCTTCGAGTTCATTACGCCGTCGAGGACAGATCCGAGCATCGAGAAGTCGATCCCTTGATTATTCTGCCCGTTAGAGAATAAGCTCCCGATTCCTGAGACAATCTGGCCGACGCTGTCTAAATTAGACGTTGAACTGAACATATCGCCGCTCTGGTAAAATAACGAGGAAACGTTAATACAGCCTTTAATTCGTAAACCTCCCTACGGTTCAGGACGAGCTTTGTTTTACCTCTCCTCTGCTATCAGACTGGAGAAAAGCTTTGGCCAAGCCCTGGAGTCCGTTGAGGTTGTCTTTGTTCGAGAAAAAGGTTTTCGCCGCTTCGATGAACACCGTCGAAGCGTCTTCGTCGTCCTCTTTCTCGCATCTCGTCGAGGCCAATAAGATCAACAGGGTACAGATCTTTGGCAGCCACATATTCGCCTTCTACTCCTCCTGTTGTAACAGTAACGTTTCATTATTGCAATTTATCAGGGAAGCTTAGCTCAGTTTAGCTTAAATTGTGTGTTGAACAGCGAGACGAGTAGAAATCGGCCGAAAATTGACACGACGAGAGAGAGATTCGTCGCAGAGGAGTACTTAATCCAGGCGTATCCTCGCTGGGAGAGCAGAGGGGAAGAGAGTCGTTTACCTTCAACCGGATCTCGATCGTGGTCGAGTTATTTTTGGATGGCGCGCCTCTCTCCAGGCCGTCCGTAGGATTTTAAGCGTGAGTGATACACCGGAAACGTTTCGGCTCGTGGTCACTCGAATACCGTTGCACGCGGAGTGCTATCTTACAGTTAAACGTTCCCTGTCCACGTCCTATTCCTCACCGACCACGATTTTTCCACCGATTCGGCAATTTCGCTGAAAATAACGGAACACTTTCGGTCATCGATGGGAAAAAAGTTGAGAAAACCTCGCGATCAATTTGAGAGATCAACGACCACAGCTAAGAAGCGTTGTAGTGAAACGCAGAGAATAATAAGTTCCCGAGGTTCGCGATCCTCGTCCTTGAAATCTGCCATACAGCATCCTTGAGATGAATGGCTATCGAAGAAGGAGCTATACACCCGGAGGGTGTCGTCGTGAATGACAAGAAGCGAAGAATCGGAGCAGCGTATTCTAACGCGCAATTTCAGTACCGTAAACCGCATGAAATTGACATTCTCCAGTTGGAGGAACGATTCGGGCTAACGGTACAGACTGTTAGTCATCGTTCCTCCGACGCGCCAAACTTGCCAGAGGCCCGGGGAGTGGAACAGCGACAAAGGAGGAGAGATTAAAAAGTGTAACACACGGAGAAATCGTCCTCGAGAGTGTTCCCCCACAATTACCTCGGCGAGAGCTTATCCGTGGATTTGCCGCGTAAACGCGGAAAGTGCAGGATGCAGTTCTCGTTCTCACGTGGACGAGAGGGAAAGCGAGTAGAACTCTCGGTTCCAAGGTCACCAGGACGTCGACACCGTTTTCTGGAACCGCGATCGGACCAACATCCTTTCTGTTCCTTCTTTTTTTTCCCCCTCGAGAGATCTTCTTTGCTCGGTTAAACGCGCCGAGAGAGAGAGAGAGAGAGAGAGAGAGAGAGGACGAGTCAACGGGATAACGGTACAATTCGCGGTATTATTAATGATTTGCCCCAATAGAGATGACTCTATCGAGATAACCGCGGCCCATAAAAAAAACCTGCCAACAGAATCAACACTTATTAGGCCATTCGGAGATTCGCGGGTCTACGTGTAACCGGCGTTTTGCTGCGTAATTAAAGGAGCTCGTTAGACACGGTTAAAGTAGCTCTCCACACCGGTTGAACGCAATTTGCCATCCCGTGTGATTCGTTTAAACGCCCCTGCCGTTTCACGCCTTCGAACGTGGAAATTGGTCAAACCGAATGGGAACACGTACGTGTACATTTTGTTTCGTAAAACGTTTATTATTGTTACGTAAATTTCTGCTATCGTCGTAATTAGTTTGTTTCATCGGCAGAGATAACGGTTGGCTTACAGAGAAATAATTGCGGCTGGAATTTTCGCGCGTCGCTTAAATATATTTGCCGAATAATTTTTTATTCTCCGCCGTACCGGGCGTGCTTGAATATTCGTTTAATTGACCCGGCGCGTTAACGCTCGCAAGTTATCGTTACGGATAACGAAGTGGCTTGGACTAGCCGTGGAAAAGCAGGTACGATCGAGTTGCGAAAATTCGTACTACTTGTACAACGGTAGTTGCAATCAACTAGAGCGTGTTCGATTGTGCTTCTGTAGAGAAGATCGTTGAAGCTTGGCACACCGCTACTCGATACGCATCGAGTAAGCCTAACTCGCGTCCAAACGAAATTGTAACCCTTCGGCTTCTGTCAACGGCGTAGTTTAAACTTGGAAATCGTTAAACATCCGACACCCTACACCTGCAATTCCCGTCCTTCCCGCATTCGAAAGAAAAGCAAAAAACAGCCGAGAGTACGGAGGATTTACCTGGAGACCAGCAATGAAGAAAGGAAGAACGTTGACGGTGGTGGCCGGCGATGGAGAGTCCCGTTTGTCCCGGAGAGCCGTGCGCACCTGACGCGACGAAGGTTGTGGCGTGACTGCCGTCGAAGGTAGCTCGACGAACGGTACTTACCTACCTGAGCAGCCAGGTATACCCAGCTGCGAGCTTGTAACACCGTGCACCTCGTCGGATCCTCCATGTATCCTCGAATATTTTCTCCTTCGCGTTCAATGGAACTGCGGATTTGCATGAATCTTCGCTACCGCAGCCTCTACTTTGCACCTCGCGGTACCGTAATCCTCTTTGTAACACGTCATTTTTAAAAGCTCCCAAGAACAAGGTGAAACAGAGTCCTCTCGCACAGACGGAGATTCCAAAGTCCCAAAGGATCGACATTCCTCTGGTGTATGCGTCATAGAGGAAATCACGATTGGAAGAGAGAAGAGAGGCCGAAACCGGGCGCTGTTCCGATCGCCACTTTCGGTAGGTCCCCCGAAGGCAGTCGTTGACCCTAGGTAGAATTGGGAAAGCACGCGTGGTCAACACGGTATCCCGTTTAATTCGAGGCGGCAAGGTCGCCTATCCGGCTCCGGTGGACGAAGGATCGTCGAACCGGTTCGAAATTGTGGCCAGCTGCCAGGATTCGAGCTACGACCGCGTTTAGGTAACCCTCTTGGATCGTTGGAACAGGTGTACGCGCTTTTTCTCGGGCACCGGCCACGTGAAAAAATCCAGCGGCGTTTAGCTTGGCACACGCTCGTAAGACGAGAAACACCGTTACCAGATCGGACTTGTTATTTAGAACGACGGAATTTCCAACGATTCGCACCGTGGAACGACCATAAACGTCCTATCAATTTCGATACCTTTCCCCTATTCAATTTCCAGATCAATCTGATCCAGATTTCCAAGCCTATGAAAATTTCACCATTCTCCGACGAAGGATACGGGAACGTGTCTGTAATCTCGTCCGCGATTTCGTTAATACTTGATAGCCCGTGGCGGGCGCGTACGAAAAACCTGCCGACGACAGGTGCAATCGCTCTTCTTTTCGTAGGCATCCTTGTACTTTTATTTATACGAAAATACAGGCTTATCGGGAGCCTCTGAAGCATGCCACATGTTCACGTGAATAAAAGATCAAAGGCGCGCGGAGACGGACCCGTGCGCCCCACGTAAGTAGGCGCCGCGAGGATCGACTCGGTTGCACGCACCGCTGGAAATCATACTTCCAACTGATCTCTAGTGTTTTCATTTATAGCTCGGAGAAATGAAGTCAACGGAGGAGAATTCGGGCGAGAAGATCGCTCGCGAGTTCCTCGTGCAGGAAACGGTGTTGAGAATAATCGGGATTTGGCCGAGCAGCGTTAACAATTTCGCGTCCATCGGTCGATGGACGTTCGCCATCTTGACGCATGTGAGTTCAGAAGCGTGTTTCGAAGGCTGCTACGTTCGAGATCTTCCCAGCGCGAGTCTTTCCCGTAATTAGATCAGTACTATCTACAGCCTGTCTCTCGAAGTCTATCGTCATTGTCTGGACCTCGACGACACGATGGACGCGTTCGTCATGGATCTGTCGTCGGTGATCAGTCTGTCCAAGCTGCTCGTTTTACGGATGAAATCGAAACACACTTACGCTCTCGTCGATTCGATCGTCAAAGACTGGACGAACGTCGATCATTCCCGCCACGAACGCATCATGACGGAGTACTTCAACAAAGGAAGAATCGTTTCGTTGACGATACTCTACCTTGGATACGCCTCTGGACTGTCTTTCGTTCTCAAAGCCCTGCCTTTGCACCTTCTACCCTTCCAGGTCGGACACGATTGGTCGTTTCATCTCTGAAAGTGACCGATCGCCAATTTATCGCTTACCACTTGCGCTTTCTTTCGTTTAGAAGCTCCACAGTTGGGCGAATTCAACGGTGAACACGAACGATACAGCGAGATTGAATTATTTCTTGGCCACGCACTGCGTGTTCGGCCCTTTACCGTTGCAGCATCACGTCTGCGTGTTACTGCTGCAAGGGATGCACATTTTCTTCAACGCCGTGGCTCACTGCGGCAACGACGGCCTCTTCTTCAGCCTGACGATGCATCTGTGCGGTCAGTTTGAAATTCTGAAGATGAATCTGGCGGAGATCGAGTTCGAGGCGATCGCTTGTCGGAAGCGAATCGGCGTTCTCGTGAAACGACACTGCAAACTGGCGGTGTTGACCAACGATCTCGAGCAGAGCTTCAGTATGATTATTCTGGTGCAACTCATGATGAGTGCGTTGCTAATTTGCGTAGAAGGTGAGTCGTTGTTCGGAAAAGTAAGTACCTATGCTACGTTTAAGCGTCCGACAAGCTTGTATCACAATAGACGACAAATTATTCTTATCGGAGCGATAGCATTCGGCCCCCGTTCCTCTTTCCTTTGGTTTCCTTCGCGCTTCGTGTGTGCAACCTAGACGTTGATCGATAAGAATATGCATTTTTAATTACCACTTCGAGGTAACACGTACTGTTTCCTTTTTTCAAACAAATTGGTAGCTTTTTAAAGTACAAGCTTTTGCGAAAAAGGAAATGTATTCGTCGCAAGAATTATCTTTGTTACGAGTTCTTGTAAAACGTCAGCTGGCCTTATTACTCTACTTTGCTAATTCTCCGTCGTTAAAGTAACACAATTGAAATATGAATAATAATTGGAACATTACCCACACGCTTCGTGCATTATCCTCCGGAGACAGGTTTCGTCTTCCTGGTCGCTCTGAGCACGAAGGACAACGTTGCAGCATTGAGGAGCTTCGTTCTGATGGTGACTTTGCTGATTCAGCTGTACCTTTACGCCTACGCGGGCAACACACTCGAGTCGCGAACCGAAGAAATTGCACAAGCCGCCTATGACTCTCTTTGGTACCGTTGCCACGGGCACGCAGCCAGAGATCTCCTTTTGATCATCCATCGAGGAAATTCGCCTTATCGTATAACAGCCGGAAAATTCGTCCCGATGAATCTTTTCACTTTCAAGGAGATACTGAAAGCTTCTGGCTCGTATCTGTCTGTAATGAAGGTAATGATGGACGCATGAGAATTGGACCTATCGAGAAATGATCAATTTCACTCTTCTTTCCTATAATTACAATTTACATCGAATTCACATATATCTTCGTTTTTCTTTTCCATTCGATATTCCACGTATTTATCCTTTCGTCCAACTTTTTACTCGAGGATAATACACGTTCGAGTGTTAGAGAGTGTAAAACTTATGGTCAAAGTTGCACCCTTTGTTTACGTTGAAAGTAATCGGTCTCAAGAACTGGACGTTCCAGTTCTTGCACGCTTTTTTCCCGCATATCGTGACTCTCGATAAAACTTGAGTATCCTTGGAGAAACGTACTCTACTCCGTTCAAAACGCGTCCCCTCGATAAGAGGACAGAAAATAGTGCGTTACGAATTCTCTTGGTAACGTGCAGCTGGCATGGTCAACGATAGGTAGTTACGCGTTTATGGTGGAATAAATCATGAATTGGAAAATGCAGCGTATTCCTGCAAACGAGAAAAAAGCGAAACGGTATTCTCTATTACGGAGAATGATCGTTTCACGATCCCCCTGATCATTCTGCGAACAATTCGATTACGCGAAAGCCCCTGTGAACCTGGCTTTTTTAACACTGCAACGTGTTATACGTGAGTGATTATTTGATGCGTCGAATGGAAGGATTTTCTGTACGTCGAGCAATCTGCTAAAAAATATAAAGAAATATATCGTTTAAATGATCGAGAAAGCGTAATATCTCGTTGGAAGCTAGGAACATTTTTTATCGTTAACACCGAAACGTGTACGAGTATTACAAAAAGTATGACTGGTAATAAAAGTATAAAGGTATACTTGTTAAACAGTTGTGTAGGATGTGTAGGAAATCTATATTAAGCGGAACCACTATAAAGTAGTGAATCATGTTTTATCATTTCGAATACTTGAAATGTTACGTCGAAACTGCGCGATAGATCGTCTCAGTGGACTATTTTGTGCACGTAGTTCGCGAAACGACCTACAGATGGTACTCAAGCGCGAGCAGCATGCCGTAATCTAATTGCGCGTAAAAAACATTTGAAAAATATCACTGAAATAACGTTATTTAAATAATATAACATGTGGTTTAAATGTTCAGAGTCGCGATATTGGGATAACTTTAAACAAGAATATGTTAGGATATCGTTTCGCAATGAATTAATCGCGTTCGTTAATTGAACGAACAAACTTAACCTTAAAGGGAAATTTCAATGTTCTCGTTCGACCAAACGGTATACTTAATGGTAAAAAATAATTATAACTTAAGATGGCACAACGATTGACCGGCAAACAGAAATTAAAGTCACTCTTGAAAGTGACCAGCACCGCTACTTTGTTGTACGGTGGCGTTTGTATTTATCAGAGCAATGAAAACTTCTATAATAAATTTGTTGTACCTCTGGCACAATTTCTGGATCCAGAATTTGCTCACAATAGCGCTGTGAAGATTTTAAAATGGGGTCTTCTGCCTAAGCAAAATACAGAGGACCCACCTTCCCTTGCAGTTAACGTTTGGGGTATGCAATTTAAGAATCCAGTAGGAATGGCAGCTGGCTTTGATAAACAAGGTGAAGCTGTAGAGGGCTTGCACAAAATAGGTTTTAGCTTTGTAGAAATAGGTAAGCACGTTTGAGTGATTTATGATTCTGAATTAGATAGATGTTACGTTGCTTCTTTAATTGCAGGATCGGTTACACCAAAACCTCAACCAGGCAACCCAAAACCAAGGGTGTTTAGATTACTAGAAGACAATGCAGTGGTTAATCGATACGGCTTTAACAGCGAAGGGCACAACAGTGTGTGGGAACGTTTAAGGAGACTCAGGGATGACCAGAACTTCAATGGTATTGTAGGAATCAACTTGGGTAAAAATAAAACGTCCGAAGATGCTGCACAAGACTATGTAGATGGCATTAAGAAGTTCTCAGATGTAGCAGATTATTTTGTGATTAACATATCTAGTCCCAATACTCCTGGATTAAGAATGCTCCAGAACAAAAAAGATTTAGAACAATTACTGACAAAAGTGAACAAAGTCAGGCAACTTGTACATAGCAGACAACCGTTATTGCTGAAGCTAGCGCCAGATTTGTCAGACTCTGAGAAGAAAGACATTGCAGATGTGATACTCGAGCAGAAATCCAAAGTAGATGGCCTAATATTATGTAATACTACGGTTACTCGTAATAATTTATCGAGTCCTCTTAAAGAGGAAAGTGGAGGACTTAGCGGAGCTCCTCTCGCGGACATGTCGACCACAATGATCTCAGATATGTATAAACTAACGAAGGGCACTATTCCCATTATCGGCGTTGGTGGTATATTTACCGGAGCAGATGCTTATAATAAAATCAAAGCTGGTGCTTCTTTGATACAAGTTTACACGTCGTTTACGTTCCGCGGACCACCTGTAGTAGGAAAGATTAAACGAGAATTGGACGATATGCTCAAACAAGATGGCCTGACGTCTATCGGAGATGCGGTTGGAAAGGATGCCAATGTTCGATAAATATTTTTTCTAGTTACCAGTTAATTTTACAATTTTAAACTTAGAGCGTATATTAAATGTACATTTTACGCCAATGACTTCGTTATATGAAACACGTTATTTCGTTGTTACGAGATTCATCGTTATGTGTACCTCGAACACGTAGTATCGACAATAAAACGATACTTTTACGACATGTGTCACCCTTTTGATTAATTTGAAAATTCGACAAAGACCGACGTTCTTTACTTAACGTTTATTTAAGTGACTGGGTTATACAAATATTTCCATTTTAATTCGTGTTTTTCGTACATTTGTCGTGAAGAAAATTAGTAAAACTAGTAACAATCTTCGAAATAATATATTCGTGGTACCTGGTACAACTAGTATAATTTTTCCTCGACCTGCGGTCAGGTTATATACATATAATCTATGATTAATACTCACTGGTAATGTCTTCTTTACACGACGTACTTACGATTAGCTAGTGTCAAGGCATTTGATAAAAAAGTAATTTCCTCTTTTATATCCCGGTGTTTTAGAATCGAAATAAATACTAACAGAAACAGGTTAAAACAATTACAACACGTTAGAACACGTTAGAACACGTTCAAACTATATACGCGCTCGTCTACTCAAAGTTATTTCTTAAAATGAATTTTTGGTACCATTCTTCCTAACTTCTTTACACGATGACGATTAACATAAATAAAATCGTTAATGAAGAATCTACGCGAGTTACAATTCTCGATTAGCTACAAGCAACAGAAAAATCGATAGAGAATAGATCGTTGTCAGGTGTGGATACGCAATCCTTATAGAAATTAAATTCTCAGGTACACAGTTACGATAACGTTGAAGAAGGTCCCAAAACGTTAAACGTTAATGCAAACCAAGATTTCCGCCGAGGCCCTGCTCCTTCCTCCACTGAGCTAAGCGAATATCGTACCAAGCCTGAAAACACATCGAAACGTCCAACTTTTTCAAATTAAAGCACCGACTTAAAAATTCTTTTTTTCTTAACAGAAGTGAAAGTATATGTAGGGACCTCGACGTCAGCTTCGGAGAGACCGGTTTCGGCCGCCAACAGGACGATATCCGCCATATGAGGTGCTCTAGGCCATCTGTGAAAATGTTCCTGAAGAACAGCTTCCTGATCAGGCGTCAAACGAATCACTCGAGCATCAGACCCTCTGCTGGAGTACTGCGGCGAGGCTGATCTTAGCATCTTGCCTAAAAAACCAGAAAACATCCACGCGAATGACTCAAGGGTGATTTATTCCAAGAAATGTCAGCTTACAATTAGCAATGTTACAAAGACCTACCCTAACGAAAAGTTTTCGAATTTTTCTAGAAATCTTCTACGTCTGTTCAAGCGTAATTTACCAAGGTACTCGATGTGTTAACGAGAATACCGTGGAGGTGACACGCCACGAAGGGAAAAAAACGCGTCGATTATCTGCGATAAAAGACACGTCGTGAATCAGCGCGACGCGTCGCGAATATGGCTCTCGAATATTCCCTTTTACGGCAAACAAACGTACTGATACACCGTAAAGGCGCGAGAGCCGACCGCCCGGTAAATTGACTCTCATTACATAACCGCATTATCACCAGCTCGCAACTTCTATTACGGAGGCGTGGTAATCGTAATAGTTGTATAATAAACACCGCTATTACATAAGTGGCCGCGACGTTGTTTTGCGTTCGCGGTGGCTATTGTGGCGTGGGATTGACCAGAGAAAAGAGAAAAAAAGGTCGCGGAGCGACGCAGCGGCCCCTCGTTACGTTACATTTCCCCCTGCGATCTCGCGTTGTTTGGCCGCGTTTTAACGAGACAGCTGCGAAATCTACGGCCTCGACGAAACGAGCAACCAGAATAGCGCGACATTGACCCGGCATCACGATCTCCCTGCTTTTGGATACATTTCAAGGCTCGATTGCACGCGGGAACCGTACACGTTTCTTTCTCTTTCTCAACAACAACAACAACAACAACAACAGAATGTCAAAAATTTCTTCTTTTTCTTTATAGCGACCACTTACTCGGCTCGGCGAATCTCACTCTCTGCGTAGACTTTCTCGGAGCAGCTGTATCCGGATAAGTGGTGCGTCGTTCGCACAAATAGCACTTTCTCTCGTAAAAATACGACGATAATTTTGGATTATTCATCTTTACCAACGGACGATCGTCCCAGGCGATTAAAGATCGAATCGAAGAACGTTTCTGTACGCGGTTCACGCGCGACTGATTCCCATCTGGTTTTGCGCGCACGTAATAATATGAAAATGTAAATCGATGCACATACGTGGGAGAGGATCAGCCTTGATAGGATGCACCAGCTTTTAACGAGAGTTCTAGCCGAGTTCCCTGCCAAAACTTTTAATTATACCAGGTTCCTTCCGGTTCTGAATCACCGGTCGATTAACTAGAAAAACATTTGGCGGCTTGCCTGCGCCGTCTAATCGATCAGACGTTCGGCTATTTTTTTCCTTCAACCCTTTGCCTACAGCGTGCTTGAAGGAAAGCACAATTCTGACGATAACGTGAATATACAGCGAGAGATTTAAATTGTCGCTTCAGCCAACTTTTCCCACACCTAAGTGTTACACGCGGAATTGTCCAGAAACCGAATCCGAAGTGTGCTTTCTCTTCGACAAGAGGTTGCTTATAGAAGAAAGAAATCGGGACGCGATCCAGAGGGTCCGATAAGCGGGAGAGACAGTTCCGCGTTCAGCAATCTTCACCGTGACATTTCTGTACCGTGTATTTGTTGTTGCGTGCCGCGTGGGCGGCCGCCTTGAGCTGTACGTTTATGGAGCAACTTGGTGGAATGTTAAACTTGACCTACAGATCGGATCGCGTGCCAAGTACAAGTAGGCGATCGGGGACAGCTCTCCCGGTCGAGAAGACTCCCTCTCAAAGTCGCAAACGTTCCAGATCTGTAACGCGAGTCTCTGAAAATCGCGTCTCGCGAAGAAAACGAAGCGGAGTGACGCGATAAAGGAGGCTCGAGATCGTTTATTTCGCGCCTGGACGTTCGTGAAAGCGTGAAATAGAAATTGCGGCGGCGACAGGATCGGTGGCTTAGAGATCGGTGTACAGAGGACTGTCCTCGATGTCGGCGTATAATTCACGCAGCTTTCCAGGCGTGCAGTACACGGGCAAGTCCTCCTCGAAGGATTGCAAAAAGTCCAGGAGACTCTCCTCGATCTCCTGCTGGTACATGGATCCGGCGTACTTCATTTGTACGGTACGACGATCACTTTCGCGTATCTAAATATTCGTCGTTTAATATGTACGATAAATTCTGAAGAAAAGATTAATATTTCTTGTCTGTTAACTGCTAATGTCACTTACTGCGTCCCATTTGTTCCTTATGAGAACACGGAGGCAATCGTTGGTCAAAGATTGGCCAGGAAGCGCCTATCGTTAAAGAAATTATTTTTTCTTTCGTCATTTTCAAGTGTTTCTATTTTCTTTCTTTTTTGTTTTTACCGTTTTGGACAGTAACGTGGCTCGGTTCTCTACTCTGAGGCACTCGAATCTGTCGTAGAAGATGGCCATCGCCCAGGGTTCTCGGAAATACGCGTAAAAATCAGCGATCAGGGATTTCTGTCGCGACGGAATTAGTTTAAAAAGTTTGAACTTGAAAGTGGCGAAAGAAGGGCTTACTTGGAAACGTGTTTTTAGTTCGTTCAACAAGCTTTCGTGTTTTCCGTGTAATTTGATCATATGACGCACCTCGAAATCCTGGAAAATTGCACTAATTTACGCTCTATCCGTAAATTCCACGTAAACAAGATAAAGAAAGCATCTGTACCTTCTTGCTGAAGCAAGTGACAGTCTCTAGGATGTCGAAACGATTCAGTCTAATGCGAAAGTAGCCGATCTCAGACTTGCACGAGCCAGTCCCCAGCACTTGACCCTAAACGTAAGAATCGCGGGAAATTTCATCACGAACCACAGCGGAATGACGATAAAAACTCACATAAACATCGTAACTAATCGCAATCTTGCGTAACATGGCTTTTCCAGGCTTGCAGACGTGAGCGTAACGATAGCCACCGGGAAGAATGCAAGCCACGACTTTTGGAGTTCGAAATATGGGTATGGTTAGGAAGGTTTTGCCTTTGAAAGGGACGAACGGTACTTTTCCATTCTTGTGCTGACTATCGACGAAGGAACGAAGATACTTCGCCAGCTAGATCAATTTCTTTGGTAAATTTACATAAATTTACAAGTCTCCGAAGAAGTCGGAGGCTGTTCGAATTTATTCCACTAACTCTTTCGCCGATCTCTGTGCTGTTGAAGTAGCCGTGCTGCCAGGCTTCCGCGTGAAACTTTCTGCAGTACTTGGTTAGAGTGCCAGCAGCGAAGATCGACGCGTCGTTCGTTCGAAATTCTGGATCTATCACCAGTTGACCATCGAACACTAATCCTGACCGACAAATCGCTGAAAAGTTTCGATCGGATTCGCGAACAATTCGTTCAACGGTAATTTGTGGAAAAAGTATTCCGACGCTTGGTCGGGATTCGTGAAACACACCGATTTATGGAAAATTCGACGACACACAGTAAACAAAAATATAGTGCTCTATAGAGATTATCACGAACCCTGACGAAGCGAGTTGGAAGACTTTTTCCATAAGGACACGGCTACACCCGAAAGCCTCGAAATAATTATACTCCAGGCCGTGAAAGCCTTGAATCTTCGATTCGGCACCTAGGAATATCTTCATGTTGATGGTCTTTCTGTGGAAAGGCAGCAGAGCGTCGCATTCCAGCGTCCTAGTTTCACCCTTTAATCGAATATCGATAGATTCTATCATGTTTTCCTCGGGGGAGTGAATCAGGTGCCAATCGATCAGTTCCCAGTCAACCAGCACCTCGATCTCGTTCGACGAAATCGAGTTCATCACTTCCAGGTACAGCTTGAACGAACGACAAATGATGGTGAAATAATCCAAGGAAAAGGCGTTTGTAGATCTTTTAATACTTCGCAGTCGTAGAAGAAAATGCTCTCGTGAGTTGTGCAAGGTGGCAATGGCGGCAGGATTAGGGTGATCCAAGATCCCTTTACTCCAAAGTCGAGCAACGCCTGAATAGCACAGTAACACTCGATGTTGTGCCCATAAAACACAATTCTCTCTGAAGAAATTCGAGAAAGATTCAACTTGGACCTCGCAAAAATTCATCGATCAAGGAGCTAACTTTCAACTTGGAAATCATTCGTCAGAATTTGCAGCTTCTCCAAGCAAGTAGTTGCCTCTGAATCGTCGTTGATTGTCAAACAGTTCCAAGGTGTTTCGTAGTCGAGAAAGTGTCTACAAAAATCGAAGGTCGGTATTCTTTCTTACTCGATCTCCGGAGATTCGATTTACCCTTCCTTTTCAGCGTCCAATTCCTCCTGAAACTGCGGCCTCTGGTACTGCAGTCCGCAAGTCAGGATCAAATAATCGTACGCTATGTTTCCTTGATTCATCACCCCAACGTACTTCTCTTTCCTGCGGATTACACAAACGACGGACCTTGCTCGCTTTCTTTCTATTTCATCGTCCTCCACTTTCGTACCTCTGGATCAACACCACTGTGCCGTACACCACGTTGATCCAAACGCGTGCAGGAACCGATCTTCGATACTCGCGGCAGTATCTTCCCGCGAAGGGTAACATTCGAGCAGACGTGTCGCTGGATTCGTCTTCGTAAGGCAGACCATTCGGAGATATCAACGTGAGATTGGCGAATCGAACGAAACTCTGCCTGGATCGAGGAGGAATAAAATCGGTTATCTCGGTCTTCTTCAATTTTCCTCGTATTCTTTACAGTTTACCCGAAGGCGAGCTGTTCCAGGAACGCTACTCCGCAATCTGAAGCACCTACTACCACAATTTTCGAATCAACGATCGTAACGGGCATCATGGCAAGCCTTGGCGTCGTCATGAAAAGAGAAAAAGGTTCGGGTTCTTCCTCAAGCTGATCGGTTTCAACGCAACCGCGGTATTCGTACTGTATCCTTTGACGGGGACTCACGGGGACCATGATTTTCAGGCAAATCGGCAGGGGTTGCGTGCGAGTCTAAAATCGTGAATGTGATATTCTTTTAAACGAACCTAGGTAAGTCTAGTGAGAATTTTTACCAGAGCACTGGTGGCACTTTTCGCGAGTCGGTAGTAAAGGACGATTAGACCGGTGTGTCGCGTGATCTCGCAGAAGAAGTAGGGCAGATGAATGGAGAAAATCGGCATCAGAACGAAGTGGAGGACGCGACCGTACGCATCGTGAGGAATATCCTGCGTTGCTATGTAGTCTTCCACGTGGTAACGTCGCTTGATATACGTCACTTGGTTCTCTATGCTAATTACGAATCACCGATCTTCGGATGATTTGAAAATTTCGCAGAGAACGGTCGAGATTACCGCAGAATCGTCACGCCAACGACCGTGTCGTTCCACAGGAGGACGAAGCAGCGCAAGTCTGAAGTTTGTTCCTTCGCAGCCTCGTCGAAGTCGGCCAAAACCTGCTCCATCTTCGGAATCCTCTGTAACAGCTCCTGCACGTCCTCGCGATCGGAGAGCTTGGCCTCGCGAACCTTTAACTCGCCGAGAAGCGCTGCTCGATGAGTTACGTACAAGGACATGGGGTAATCTTTGTTGCATCTCAGTGGCACACGCTGAATAGTGGGAAAAAGTGTGAGAGTTTTGTCAATGTTTTCAGGAACAACGGGAAATATCGAATGTACCACGAAGTGATCGAGGAAAGGAAGAAAGGGGTGAGAAAATGGCAGAAGAATGGCGCAGTAGTCCAAGTCGGGGAAACACTCGAACGCAGCCTCGATGAAGTTTCTGCTGGACCGATGCTTAACGTGATCCTGCGTCGCGAAAATTTCCAAGACGAACGCGTTCATCGCGCCGCAATAAACAGGCTGCGTGGGAAGCTTGATGTCGCTGGACTCTAAGCCCTCCGGGACATCCGCAGACACGATAGTGGCTTGTCCTTCGTTCCAAAAATATCATCTTGCCTCGTCTGTTACCTCTTTCTCGAATTAAACGAAACAACGAACGGGAGAGATCGTGGAACTCACGCGGAATGTCGAATATAGAGTCCACGAACGCGCTGGTCATCAGTTTGGACTGGTAGTACGTGTTAAAGTAATCGGCGATCGATGGTAAATTGCTGAGAAAAGTTGTCTCCGACAGCGGTTCGTTCGGTTTCGACGATCGATCGTCGACCGAGATCGTGGAGGTGCTCGCCGTGTCCCTGAAATCTTCTTCTACGCTTTGCTCCGGCGAGATTTTCTCAGCAGAGGGGGCGATAACTCTGGAGTAGATACGAGAATCAGTTTACACCTCTTTCCTTACGTAAAGCGTTAAATATCGTCTAACCCCTCTGGCATTTTCTCGTGAGGTTTCCTCGAGAAAATCGAGAAGAAGGTCTCACTGGCTGGCTCCATGCTCTCGGAGAAGAACCGATCGTTCTTATGTGGTTTCCTCAAACTGTTATACGGTCCAAGCTCGAAATTCTCGCTCAGCTTGTCCACGTCTACTCTGCTGTTGAGAAACATCACGCCTGTGGCCAGTCCTTCGTCATCCTCCGATACGATCAATCGTCTCTGCTCGTCGGGATATCGAACCATCTCGCTCGCGTAAAATTCCCCGTAATACTGTTTCACGAGAGCCGTCTCGGCGTGGATAATCGGTATCACATCGTCGTTATCTTCCTCTCTATTACACAGCGAAATATTTTTTCCGTAGAGTGTCGCAGGATGCGTTTAAATGCAACTGGAGAAGGAAACGTTCGTTAGCCTCACACGATGCGTCGAATCCTCAGCCTGGGATTTTCCAAGTGGCAACCGGTCATGTAGACGGACTGCCTCGAGTACCTGTCCACCGAACACCTCAAGGGAACCCTGATCATCCGTCCCTCGAACACATCCGCTGGAAAATTACAACTGCGAAGTTATCGAGCGGAGGATCGAACCTCCTGCTCACCTATAATAATTCGAGGAGGAAGCACGAGGACGATGTGTTGGAGGTACGAAGCGGCGTCGAAGAGATCGGTCAGGAGATCGTTGAAGAAGTGGCCGGTGTATCGTCTGTCCCACACGAGAAAGTGCACGAACATCGTGTTCCTCTCCGTCACGTCTTCCACCCTCGAGAAGAAGACACGAGTTCTCTTTCGAGTAATTTACCCAGTAATTGTCGAGTAACAAACCAACGGCTGTTTCGTTTACTTGTACAAGGTGTACAACCAAGTGAGCCAGTCGTCGGGATTTATGGACGGGACGTTGGGGTAATTGCAGAGGCATATTCCCGAGATTATATCTCGTTTCTCGTTGCACTGTATCATCGACAGACAGCTTTTCTCACTGGAAACGTAACACGTTCGTTTTTCTGTGCAGATTCGAAGAAAGTTTGCAAACGATTCTGCGTACTAGACGCGTCCGAGAATCACTTCTCCGAAGATCTCGTAAGTGTCCGAACGTATGAGTTGCTCCAAGAGAAGAATATCGGCGTGCTCCATACGCCTACCGCCAGCAATGTTCGTAGCTGGATCCAAACGTTTTCTTCCGCTGTAATACGCCTCTTGATCGCCGAACCATAAGGTCATCGTGTTTAAAAAAATCTCCACGATAATTCTACCGAAGCTGAGAGAATCTTCTGTCGCTTGATCCTCGATTCTCGATCGAACCGGTGCGATACAAAGGGTTCCGTGGCTATTTTCACGATCAAAGGGAAACGATCGATTGGAGTGTGGAGCGAGCGTGGGAAAAGCGGAGAGCCGGTTACAGGAGAACGCGACCGACTTTAATGTCCGCAAAAAAGGTAATAACGAAACTCCGGGAACGATTTAAGCGGAGGGGCAAAGTAATTGCTTCGCGTTCTCGCTGCTCTCCTCTCTCTCCCACCTTTTCCATTTCTCGGCCTTCCACGTTCGACTTTCTTCTCGCTTTAAGCCGCGTCCACAGCCTCTGCACGCTCGATAAACTTTCAAAATCGCGTTTCAGGAAGCTCTCGAGTCTGCAACACCGAGCTGTCTCGCCGTCAGCTGGCTTTTTTCTTTGCGGCCAGCCGCAACACGCATCGCGGAAGCTATTTGCGCTGCTCTTGATGCGTAAAACGTGCTGGCATGGCGGCACGTGCTCGTAGCGCGAACAAACGCAGAGTAATCGACGCGATCGTCACGGTACGCTACTTCCCGACACTTTCAGCAATCGAATCGTCATCCTTTCTTTTCACCACGCTTTCTACCCGAAGATCCTCCGATCGATCCAGTTTGCCGTGCAACCCTTTCCTGCGCCTCTTTCCGGGAATCGGGATAATGATTCGCGGCATGCAATCCTGTGTCACGATACACGGCGTGAAAACACGAGCTTGGCACGAGAGTTTGGCAGCTGAAGGTTCGTACAACAGGAAAATTCGTATCGAACAAGCTTTGTTACACGGTAGACTCGCGCCAAAGATATCGCCTCTACTGCTTTCGTACAACGTACAACGTACAACATTTGATAAAACATAGAAAATAAAAGTTGACATGGCAATAACAACCCTTTGCACTCTTTGAGGCGACTAAGAAGCTACGTTACATTTACCATTAGGGGCAACTCTAAGGACGATATTTTCCAAGACAGCAGGTGAATTGTTCACTACATGTTTAGAGATCTCAGCAGTGAAATATTTTGGAATAAGCAACTTCTGATAAAAATAATAGTTTTAAAAAATGACTAACTTTTTCTACTTCCTTACAGAAAAACTGTCTAGTCTACTGTATATGTGAAACAGAAGAATATAGACACAGTTTGTACTCTTGATCGGAAAATTTTCATGGAGAAAATTCCAGCCTCAATTAGGTATTACACGGGGAAAAAATGTGAAACACAATCACCTGCATCAGCAAGCAGTTTTTTACAGCTGCACTTGAACAGCCGTTGTCGTCGAACTTAACCGGAGTGTTCGTTTGAAGCAATTGAAGGTAATTAAGCGGAACCGTAATGGACGAAATTGGAGACGAAAAGCGTACACCGAGCAGCATCGATTACCCTTTCCCATAGGTGGAAGGGTTTTCTCTCCGTAGATCGACCGACTGATTACCGTGAGATCGCCGCGTTGCGGAAGAAGCTCGCGGAGAACGAGCTTTTATTAATAACTACAAGAAACGCGGAAGCAGCGGGAACCGAGATGTGTCGTCTTCCGTTTTCTGCGATTCGCTCGAGAAAAGAAACCGATTCGACGTATTGCTAAATCACCGAGATCCATATTAATTCTATTTGCGGAATAACGCGCAGTACGGGCCATTGAACATGCAACGATTCGTGACGAGTTACGTCAGAGCACCGTACGACGAATTTCCTACTTGCAAAACCTCGCTCGTTTTCTTCCTCTACTTTTACTTTTACCGGAGTTCCCATCGGGTCTCCGCGGTTCTCCGAGATAAAGGACACCTTTGCGCAGCGAAAAATGGATCAAATCGATATATTCGGAGCACGAAACGCACAGTGACTCATCGGCTAATGCGTTGTTCGACTCGCGAAACACCTTTCGATCAAGATTCCGACCTCCTTTGATTATTCGTTCGAGTAATACGTCGCAAAAACGCACCGGCCGTTGCGTCATTAGTCCGCTTATCTATACTCAGGTATCGGTAAGTTAATTTAACGCGACCGAGATTAAGCAAATTTCATTTGCAACGGACGTCAATGCGATCTAGCCGTATACGCGACTGCACCGATCTGTATCGCAACGAAATTGATTGAAACGAGTATTCCTAAAGCTTACCTGTTGCTCGTCGAATGGTATCGAGTATCTATAGTATCGAAGAGGAAAGGAAGAGGAGAAGAGCCGCAACACCCTCGCTCAGCAACGGTGCGCGCCAGACTGATTGTGAGATCAAGCGGCGGACTTTCGGAGATCAAGCTGCGGCGGTCTGCAACTGCAACGTGAAAGAGAGCACAGGAGGGGAGTGAGAAACGGTTTGGGAAAGTATGTGTACGGTTGGCATCGGTTCCAGTGTCGCTATCGAAAATGGCAAGTGAACGAAAATTCCCTTCCCCTTCGCATCCTGCTGCTCTTTCTTTCTTTTTCTTGTTGATAAAAGAAATTGGAGTTAAAGCGGGGAACAGTGAAATCGTAACACATCTGAAATTGGGTAGGGGAAATTGGTAGCTAAGTATGATAACGGGACCTTCGCCTGGTTACATCATTCTCGTTGGAATTGCTCTAATTTTACCGAAGGCACGGTTGGAACATTGTAGGCAAGGTGATGCGTCGAAAGAAGAACGACGATATTTGAAAAATAAAATATGTTTATTCGTGACGCTCTGATCTTACAAACAAAATCCTCGTACGGTCGTTATCTAGATCGTGTATAGTATGTATATAATGCTTTGTTTGCAATAAATTAGAAAACTTATAATTTTTTTTTTGTTTTTTTCTCTCGCTGTTATCTAACTATCACAGAGGCTTGTGGATTCGACTCGAAAAACGACAGAGAAAGTGATCCAAGTTTAAAAGAACAAAGAAAGAAGAAAATATTGATAATTTGTCGGAAAGTGGTAAAGTAGTGTTGAACAGTGGGACCGGCTTAAAGATAGAAAATCGCGTAGGATATATTTATCGCACAGAAATATTTTTTGCCACTAATATAGTACTGTAAAGTGAGTAAACTCGTGATTGCTTTCATCTATCGATTTCGGGGGGAAAAAAAGCTAAGAACGTTCGTCTCGTAACTCCATTCTTACCCTAGAATGTGAGGAATGGGATAACGAGCAGCGACGATTCTATGCAACTTATAAATGGTATAATATCTTTGTGTATTCGTTACACATCTACGATGACACTATTACGCTACCATCATCGTCATCTCCGTTTTCATTCCGTAATTTCTCGTTAGAAAACTGGTTTTTTCTTATGAAACCATAAATAACTGACTACACCTGACGTTTACCAGAGAAATAGAAACGTACGTATCATCTGATGCAGTCTTTCAGAGGCTTAGAAAGTAAACTATTTTACGCGCTGAGAGAAAAATACACGATAATTCGGCTGTTGGCATTTTAGGGACGTTTCCTCTAATGGACAAGTAATATACGAGCTTTTCCTTTTTTCTTTTTAATTTCAATCAACGGAGAAGAGTACATTTAGAAAAATGGAAGAGTGTAAAGCACGATGCGTGCACGGAAGCTTTAGGTGTGTCTGTTTTTATACACTTGGAAAATACAACGGTAAGTCGCATACACGTGAGAACGTATTCGTGATTCTAAATCAAAGAGAGCTGTTGGTATCGTAAGAAAATTGTTTTCTCTTCTTTTTCAAGCTACGTATATATGTATGCATAAGTGGAAATGAATCGATTATGCTCGTGGAAACCAATTACGCGAAGAAATTAGTTTTTTTATTTTTGTTTTTATTTATTGTTCTTTCAACGGACCGACGTTATGAGGGAACGTTGACTCGGGTTGCGCTTAAAGTACGTCGTTATCCAGAGTACTGAAATTTTAGCGACTTACAAGAAACGAAACCTTTTTCCCAGGCAACATATTCTCGGAGATCGATGCCTTACGATTTTAACATTTTAGATTCGGTACACATGTATAAACATATGCATATCACAATGAAACTATGCGTCTTTTCACCTATCTTCGTTCACTCGTTGGAAGGCGTTGCCTTCACCGTTCGGTTGAGCCTCTTGCTCGCCAGCAATAGCTTCGTTTCCTTTATTATTCTGCGAGGTATCCACTTTGTACAACACGTCGTGGCAAAGCGGGCAACGGTCTTGCACGTACAGCCACTTTCTCAGGCAGACGCTATGGAAGTAATGATTGCAACGCGTTATCTTGGCACTCTGCATCTCCTGGTAGCAGATAGCGCACACGTCGTCGAGCATCCGAAGTTGCTCCACCTCCGCTTCGGGAAGTGAATTGATCTTATCTACGGCTGATCGACGCTTCATGAACACGGTCCATCCGGATTTCGCCTCGCACCATATGTTGAAATAGGCGTGGATGCACATCATGATTGCGCGAATCGCTCCGCCTGATTCGAACACCAATATCCAGAAGCCGTTGAAGAATAGAATAATGCCGAATGCGAATTCAATGGTGTTGCCAAATGATCGTATCACGTAGACGCAGTCGTCCAACTGTTCCCAGAACACGCTACGGTGAGCGTCGATGAGAAACAGGAAGTAGATGGCGAGCGAGACCAACACTTTTACTATCACCTCGATACTGAACACCGACACCGCCAGTAACCACGTACTGGCGGTGTAATGTGACCAGAGGAATATCAGCAAAGACACGGGGAAAAGTATTAAAAATACGCAAACAGCTAGAGCGCGAATATGTCGATGAAGGGCTGGATTATGGGAGGCGCTCAGTGACATCAATAGAGGATTCACGACGTTGTGCACAAAGTGTAAAACGGCGGTGAACAGTAGACAAAAGTTGCGGCACAGCCTGACCATACGTTTCTCCGTGTCCAAACTTGTCAGTCCAGTTTGCAAAGCCAGAATGTAAAAAAGAACCGCGGACACGGTACCGATACTTTTCTCTTCGTCCTCTTCGGTGAGCAACACCCATTGGAAGAAACAGCCGATGTAGTGGCAAATAAATGAAATAATGCTGGTCATTCCCAAGACCGCTGTCAAGGTCTCGCAGCCGTTCACCAGTAAAGTTCTAATCATTACGTAGTAGGTGAACGTCTCGTCGCCGTACTGATTTCCAAGAATTTGAATTACTTGTCCTCCCACGCGTAGCATCCAAAACATGCGCAACACGCACGGAACGTGCAATCGAATCCACTCGGTCTCGGCAAGCGCAGATAAACCGAAATTGCTGATAAAGTTACGCGCGTGTAGATAACCCATGAAAAGTGTGATCACAATTTTCACACAGTTGTACCAAATTACGAACTTGCATACGGCTAGTGGAAGAAGAGCCGCGAACACCGGTGCGTGGTAGAGAACTTGCGTCTGAAACGATATACACGTAGGAGTAACGACACGTTGGACATAAATAGAGATACAGTTATGCATAATGATGCAACAAATTGAAAAAGACAAAATGAAACTACTTTGTATGTATTCATATGGAAGAATCTGTTCAAACTTACCGGAAGCGGACAAATACCGAGGATAGACGGTGCCATGAAACTCAGTACAAGAAGTTTTTGCAATATTGGGTTTCTTGGTGCAAGATGAATGTAACAAAAAATACTAGCTAGTAAACATTGTAAGATGTAATTCTGAATTAGAAGGAACCCAGGTCCTCCGTTCGGAATAGATTTAAAATTAAGCCATAAAATATCGTCGAGAATGCTAGTTGAGGATTCGTGTGTACCCAGATATGCTATAATAGCTTTCATTGTACTAACATTTGACCAATAAGATATGAATATTGCCCCTACTGACATTAAATATAGGTACACGATTATTAGATGCTTTGTCCATAGCATGAATGTAAATATTGCAGCAATACATCCTGAAAATTAAATATTCAGTATCTCAACCATTCACCTTTGTCCCATTATTTTTATTTAATTACAGAATTGTAATAAAAGAATATCGAAATATTTCTTCATTTTCTCTATTTCCATTGACACTTTATGAATACTTTCTGAATCACATAATGTACAGCAGTTTGCTCGTCTCTACAAATGCAATGACCCACAGGAATTAACCCCGCTACTCTGAATTTAAAACTGTTATTCCACTACTGCTAACATTGCTTCCTTAAATTTATCTACTGTAAATGCTATTTTTCGATTCTATTCCTTTGCCAAATTCTATAAAATTATACCAAATTGTAAAATCTATAAATATCTTACCTAAACAGCAGCATATAAATTTCAGTGCAATTATCAAATGCATCTTAAATACATTGTATTCATAGTCAAATGGATTTAGCAACGAAGTAGCTGCCATTGATTTCACTATGTTGTCCGAAAGTTTTGATATTTTAGAGTCACGTTCAGTGCTGTCTAATACTACAATTTCGCTGGATAATCCAAGACCAATTCTAAGTAATTCATCTATGATGAATAAAGGTGGAACTCTAATTATGATATCAGCAAACGTGAGAAACCTCTCACGCATTGATGTGTCCATTGTTATTTTGTTTTCTTCCTTTTTAATATAGATATCAAAAATGATACGTTGTTCTTATGGAGAGCAAGAACAGTCTTCCCAGTGTAATATTTGTAATTCAATTTAATTTATTTACTACCTAAATTCAAAGTATTATATTTACAATTTAAATAGACTGCAACTTATATACGTTACTGTGTTCCGAGTGCAATTAATACTAAATTATGCGTAAGCTTACCTTCGGAATTAAAAAGTAGTTTGGTTATCATATTCTCGAATCACTCTTATCTTAGGCGAATAAGAGGGATAACTGTTGTCGGTGGAAATCGACTAAATCGAAATGTCCCGAAAATTGTGAATCACGCTCTGGCCATAATCGACGAAGGAAAGTCACTAAGGAATGATCTAGGTAACAAGGATGCAGCAGAAATTCAAAATTTTAGACGAACAACGTTATCGAACTTGATCCAGTTAGGGTATCGTAAGACGAAGGTTCATTGGTGAAATCTCGTCAATTATTCTTCTCCTAATTGATGGCCAGTAAAATCAACTGAACTGTTCGAAATAATTATGGAAAAGATTTTACCATCGTGCGAGAATATTGAGACAACAGGTAGGACTCGCAAAATTTTCAGTCTTCGAACTTCTGTCAGTTGTGTTTTCTTCTATTCGCTGGAAATCGAATCGTAATGTCTAATGTTTGTTATTCACGCACGATAACTGTAACCAAAACGCGTGAACGTGACAGCGACGGTATTCAGACTAAACTACGTTTTTAAAATACGCGTAATTTTCCCCGACGTAAAACGCTGTCGCGTATACTTTAGAGGTTACGAAGGAACTTGCACGAAGAATTTGAACGATTTGATCAGATGGCGCTACGTTATTTTAATTCGACGTACGTATGGTTTAATGTGATCTCAAAATAACGTAATAATTTTATACCGTTACACGTATCGAGAAAATTCGGGTTATGTAATTAAAAAAATCATCAGATGTCGTTCTATCGGGGTACTATCGCGACACAATGCATAACTTTTCAACGATAGATTTACAAATTAAAAAAAAAAAAACAAAATGAAATTGTTTTCTTCGATAATGTGATAATTTAACGTTCATTACTATACGTAATACTGTTGTATCATCATTCACGAAATACACTATTCGGTAAACGATGCGTAACGGTACGTGCAAAACTATATTCATTCAAAAAATTCGTCAACTGAATCGTGTACTTTGTACAAAACGTGCATGCACTAGAAAAAAATGTATATACATATTTATAATTGTAGATTCAATATCGGTAATTTTATTATGCAAATTCATAATTTTATTGTTAAT